CAGAATTCATCTCAGAAAATGCACTGAAGTTTAAAAGCCAAATCGCTTCAGGGCGTAGGTGATCATATCTCTCCACAACTTTCTATCCTTTATAGCTTTAAGCAATGTTTTTCTACTACTATTGCTCTCAGGTTCTGTTCTGCTATCTCGCTAGGTAGGTTGCTCCTTGCTTCTCTCCATTCTCTAAAGACGTGGGCGATGATGGCTCTCCACAACTTCTTAATCTTTATAGCTTTAAGCAATATTTTTCTGTTTACTATCCCACCTAGTCTCTGTTCAGCTATTCATTTAAACTCGATACGTAAGGTTGTTCAATGCTTCATTGGTATTTCTTTTTTCTATGTGAATTAGATTTAAAAAAAAACAAAACAAAACTTATGCAATGATAATTGCAACGAATTTAATTTATTGGTTTTATTTTTACAGCTTATCAACTTTTTGTAGGTTATTTAAAGCCAGAAAATATTTTTAGATTGTAAGAATTTGTTGGGAGAGGAGAGGTAGATAATAATGGGTCAATGATAATAGTTTCAATTAACCCATAGTTGGGGGTTGGGAAGAGGTGGATTCATGCACTTCCAAATGGTTTTTAGTACATAAGTGAATATATATAATGAACTCAACGGGAATAGGGACGGCTCTCCGATTAACAATTCCATGTTATTGTCAGTTACACCACCTGCACATCCAGGCTTACAGCACCTGGTATTCCTAAGTGGTCACCCATTTAGGTATGGACCAGGTTCGATGTTCAATGATCGTATGAAACCCTATGTTTCACCTTACAGGAATCGGTATTTCAACACGACGTGGCTGCAAATAAGAAAAAATTCCAATCAGCTGAAGAAAGCCGGGGCGTACAACGGCCGAAACGTCGTGAATCATACTTATTATAAAACGCAGGTTGTGTGTGTGTGTGTGTGTGTGTTCGTTTATATATTGGATCGGATTTCCTACATTTTTCAACCGATTTCAACAAAACTTCACAGAACTGCGTAAAATTACGTTGCAGTGGTTCTGAGAGTGCCAAAAATTGGAAAAACACAATTGTTTTTGCACAAAATCAATTTGAAAACACGATTAAGAGACATCGCTGTTTCGAGAATGAAAGGGGGACAACTCATATCGAGTTATACTTATTATAAAACCTAGGTTGTTTGTGTGTGTGTGTGTGTGTGTGTTTCTTTATATATGGGATCGGATTTCCTACATTTTTCAACCGATTTCAACAAAACTTTTTTTTTGGCAGGTAGTGTTTCTTATTGTCTTGCACACTTTTTTCTTTATTTTTACATTCAGAATGCTTTAAAAATTCCATTTACAAGACAATTGTTTATAATAAAATTGAAAAATTCTATTCAATCGGTAGACTCATGACGATTGAAAACAATGTTTTTGTTTGATTTTGGGTTTGACCAATTCGTAAAAAAAAAGAAAACAAAACAAAAAAAAAACTAATTAAGACATGCGTGTCCGTCAACCTTAAACAATAATCTTTGTCAATTTTATTTTTCAGTCTTTATGATGGTCGATACTTGATCTATCTCTTACTGTTACATCCCCGGGCAACGCCGGGCTCTACTGCTAGTATGGCAATAAAGATGAGAACAACAGTCTGAACAATGTAAATTGCTTAATAATAACTTATTCCATTACATCGTCGGCAAAAAATAAAGAGAAAGAAAATTAGAATAAGATGAAAATGACACGAATTCATCATTTACTCAGCGTATTTTACCCCTCTATGGGTCCCACTCCGCCTATTTCTGTTGGAATTTTGGTTGATGATTTGCCGATTCCATTTGCATGTTAACGTTACCCTGTTCCTCATCTCAGAGGTCCCCCCCCTCCGGTAAAGGTTTTGATCTCTGAGACGCAGCTACTATACCCATACTATACCCAGGCTGGCGACTGGTCGATGGTCGTTAGCCGCTTGGCACAGATGGGTTGGGGAATGATGCCAGGTCAGGACCAATAATATTGCAGATTCTTCTTTGAATTTTATTATGGAGCACCAGACCAGATGTTACACCAGTAGTCAAAACACGGATGAATAGTAAACTTATAAATATATTAGATTCTCGCGAGAAAAATTGTCTAGCATGTCATAGGGAATCAACTTTCCTAGCAAAAGACCTAGCAGTTGATTCAATATAATCTTTCCACTATCAACGGAAAAGGTTTGTCCGCGCAGGCTCAATGAATCATTCTTCTGGAGTTTAGCACCAGCCATGCTGATGGAAAGTAAAACAGTTTCTCTCAGATGATTAAAAGAGAATAGTTTCGTTTTGGATAGAAAAATATATTTCATTGGAGAAGCATTTTATATTTGACTGGTAATGAACGATTATAGGTCTCTCCGTTTTACTGTTGAACTAGTTAGATGTAACCGACACTTCTCCTTTAACAGTTACTTTTCTCGCACTTTCTACCTGTGGAACTCTATTCCGATTTCTTGTTCCCTTGATAAATACAATCTTTAAAAATTTAAATGCAACGTCAATCGCCATCTTCTTGAACCCTGTTCCCTTTTTTGTCATTTCTTCAATTCTCCCCCATTCTCAGTCTTTTCATTCTCTTTCACTCCCTGTTTCCCCTGCATTTTAGTGGTATTATCGCCTTGCTTGGGGGGAAATGGGTAAAGAAATGTATCAAATCCTTTTTCATTCCTCCTTTCAAACATGTAAATGCAGTAAAAAAAAAAAAGACAACGTAATCTTTGACGCCCAAATTTAGATTTCTGCTTGCGAACCAGATCTTTCCATTCATTCAAGCAACGAGAGTTTAGCTGTCAGCACCTCTCATCTACGTAAATCGGTCAATAATAATAAAAAAAACAAAAAAAACAAAAAGACAATAGAGACAAAAGCCTGAGATTCCCTGCTTCACTAATTTGCGAAACTCTTGCTAGCATTCTACTCTCTCGATACGCAACAAAAGACACCCTTTCACTTGATCGCTTTCAGGAAAGCAAAGCGTTTGCTAATGCGATTATCATCAATAACTTGTCAGAGGCGTTTGTTCTGCATCTGTAATTAAGGTCATTTATGTCTCTCGTGTCCAATCCAGATAAAGCATATCTGGCACTCTGGTCAGTTATTTCTACTGTATTTGGTTAAATTGACCTGAAAAATAATCTTTCAAAGTACAGCTTTGTTATTCTTTCCATACAAGCAGTAGAAGAGATATCTTTTTATTCAAATGCCAAACAAATCGAAAGAAAGTAGTGTACCCCGGATATAAGAGACCCGGATATAAGAGAAACCCGGATATAAGAGAGATTTTATCTGGTCCCAAATAAGAGCCATACTTACCTAAACAAAATAGACCAAACCCGGATATAAGAAAAACTCGATATAAGAGACTTCTTCTCCGGTCCCGACAACTCTCTTATATCCGGGTTACACTGTATTAGAAAAGAACTATTCTATCAGGATGAAACGATGAAATAATGGAGTAATTTCGTGTGCTTTGCTATTCGGAGCAGCATGCTCATCTTGATTGTTCTGCTCACATCATTTCGGTCGCTTCGGCATTTGGCCGGATTGACAGTTGTTGAAGAGGAATATTATTGTTATATTAATGATGTGTCTATGGAAATTGCAAATGTATTATTTAGCGTATAGCAGTTTAACAATTTGTTATAGCATTATTATTAAGGAAATATATTTTCTTATGTTGTATACCATAGGTAGTTCGTTTGGGATCAAGAAGTCCCCCAGAAGAGGAGAATTGTAACGTTGTAGCTCAGGCCAGACTATAGCACCACTTCCTTATCAATGTCTAATTTTGTACATTTTTGTGCAAAAAAGTGGATCAGAGAGCCTGCACAGCTTAGTAAATATTTTCAGGAAATATCAGCTTTTAATTGGTCAATAAACACACAAGTGGGCGTTGCAATCCATCCGCGTACATATAGTTTTTCCAGCGCATGACCAAGTCAAGTTTCCCGCCATTTGCTGTGATCCTGTCACGTGATTACATTATCTATAAATAGCAGACAGGTGTTCGCTTATTCTCTTTTACTCTTCCAAATTCCTGCGAAGAGGTGATCGTAAGGATTCTCGTCTCGACCATAGGCGGTCAGACGTTAAAAGCATTTTCACGCACGCACGTATGTATGAACTTTTCCAAACTACATTACAAACATACAGAACATTTCAAAACATGCAACAAGAACTTTTCTCTTTGAAATATTCTTCTAAAACTACACTTTATTCAGCAATATTCCCAGTCTAAGAGACATAACTCTAACAGATCTTTAACTTCTACGTGTGTACATCAACATACAAATAAATAAAAATGTTATGTTTTTAAAACCATTTTGCTCATTCTTGTATTTCATGCTTTGTGGTATTTTATGTTTAATATAAATTGTGTGTTCATGTTATTCACGCAGCCTTGAACAAACATCTACAATTGTCCGTTCTTATTACCAAGTCATTACATTATGGTGACCTCCGACGTCTGAAATGGGGCGAGAGAAACAACTAGACCGCTACAAGACAATGGATTCGTTCTCAAAGTGCAGCTTCTTCCACTCGAACGCACGTGAAGACGAATTCACAGAAAAATAACCCATTGGCCACAAAATAAAATAACTTTTCTGTACTCCCAAGCCTAAGGCTTGAACAAGAGACAGGTGGCCTAGTGGAATAAAGTAATCGTTTTAAATACATCTGATTCCACTTATGAGTTCAATCCCTGGGTCTGGTGGATTGTTTTTGTTTAGTGGCATATCAACCTCTGTAGATTATTGAATGCCGAAATCTAAATATTTTGTATACAATTTAATTTAGTTTTATATTATTTTTGGAGATAATAAGGCTTTTAGTGATACAAGACTTACTAATTAACCCATAGTTGGGGAAGAAGAGGCGGATTCAAAACTTTCCCAAGGGTATTTGCGCGTTCATATAACGAACTCAACTGGAAATAGAACTCGACTTATCTATTAACAATTCGGGGTCAATATCCATTAAACCAGCCGTACATCAAAGCTTACAGCAGCTTGTATTCGCAAGCGGTCACCCATCTAGGTATTGACCAGGCTCGACGTAGCTTAACTTCTCTAATCGTACGGGAATCGGTGTTTCAACGTGATATAGCCGTAACACATGCAACATCCAAACTTATAGTATCTGGTATTCGGAAGTGGTTACCCATATAGTTACTAAGCAAACTCGATGTTTCTTAACTTTGGTCATCGTACGGGAACTGGTATCTCAATGTAATCTGGCCGTAAGAATCCACCTACCCCCGGACTGGTATTTCTAAAAAAAATGAATTCAGTGGAAGAAGCGGACAAGCAGCACAAACATCTGACTATATTTCTAAGATAAGGTATTGTAACTATTTACACCGTTCGGACTGTTGTCCTCATCTCTGTTGCTATATTCACGGCGTTTCGGTCGTTGTACGCTCCGGACTTCTTCAGGTGATATACGTTGGAATTTTGAACCGATCCCTTTATTTAGTCCACGGGGGTAGGTTGTTCTAATTCCGCATGTACAACGGCTGAAATGTTAGGAATATAGCAATAAAGTTTAAAGGACAACAGTCCGAACGATGTCAAAAGTGTAAAAAGCAGAACAAAGTTGGATAAAAATAGTGAGAATTGAAATATTCCCTAAACACGAAAAGTGAAATCTACCCCGAGGCTTGAATATAGGCTTCAGTTTGAAATTCCAGGAAGGTACGGACACTGGGAGAATGCCGGAGGCTGCAACAGGAAAAATTTTATAATTTGTAACGACCAAGAGGCGTGTGTGCTGATTACAAAGCATATAATAATATATGCATATGATAATGATAATAATGATAATTCCTAACCTCACGAATTTCGATGGAGAATAACTGTTCTTCAATTTTCCTATTTTATAGAGAAGAGATCGATTTTGGTAGACATCTCGAACCAATGTACCACTTATTCGCTTTACAAAATCCATCACAAACGATTTTTGATTTTCTTGGCTGCAAACCGCCTGCATACAGGTAGAAAATGATTCAAAATAAAAAGGGGTGTAAGACATTCACTATGATGTACTAGACGGCTTTTCTCGCCAAAAAAAAAAAAAAATATATATATATGACATAAGTTTACCATTCGTCCTTGCTTTGAAATGATTGACGTTGCTATATATGCTTGATAAAATTCAAAGAAGAATCTTCAATGTTATTGGTCCTGACCTGGTATCTTGTCCTTTTCCCACCAGCGCAATGTAGCTTCCCTGTGTCTTTTCTATAAATACTTTCATAATAATTGTTCTGATGAACTTTCCTCTATGGTTCATTAGGGTTTGATTTTTATATGCTGTTATTTTTATTCTCCATGCCACCACAGACAAATTGTGATATGTGGACTAGTTAGGACGACATAAGAGACTTTGTGGCGTTATAGTGGCTGTAGTAAGAATGTTAAGTAAAAATGTATTGCATTGGTGTAAAGAATACTGTGGTATGTTTTGGTCAGTAATCGTAGCTTAGTTTGAGAGAGATTGAAGACCAGCCTTTCCCTATCCCTCCTTTGACCTTGTGTCACATTTTTGCATTAAAACAAAATAAATATTACGTTCCTCTATGATACCTAAACTTTATGAATTTAAGAGGACTACTAAACTGACGACAAGGTCTCATCAACTTACAGCTAAAATGGTTAAATGTAGCCGTAAGTTCTATGCTAACAGTTTCTTTTCTTGTGGAACACCCTGCTGGCTTCTTGCTTCCCATTCAACTTTGATCTTCAAACATTTAAATGCAATGTCAATCGTTATCTTCTGTCGTCTTAATTTGTATTCTTTCATTGTGTTCTCTTCTTAACAGAAGTTTTTTTCTTATATCACTCAGTAACCACTTGCGTCCTAGTGACTTTATTGCCTTGATTGGGGTAAAATGACTAGGAAAAAATGGAGATGACATAGTGTTGATAGCAGACACGAAAAGAAAAGAAAGCGAGGAAAAAGGATTAAAAAAAAACCCAGAAACCATGGTTGTTAGCAAAAGGATGAGCCCAACATGTAAATTATAAATTGATGATGTCGAACTCAAATAGATGCAATAATTTAGATATCTGCGAAGTGTATTGATAGAGGACAGAAAGTGTGAGACGGAAATCCTAAATGCGCATTGGGATAACGAAAGATGCCTTCCAGAATCTGAGAAAAGCAATAAGAAACAGAAAAAATATCATTAAAAACAAAGAAAAGAGTACTGAACTGTTATGTAGTATCAGTCCTCCTATATGGCAGTGAATACTCGACAATCTTCTAGCAAATTAAGAAGAGACAAAGCAGAAACGTGGTTCTACAGACCGATACTGAGAATACCATGGCCCAAAGATGTGAGCAATGACAAAGTTCTAAAGAAAATGGAAACAAAAAAGGAACTTATACTTAACATCAGGAAGTGAGAGTTGAAATTTCGAGGGCATATAATGAGAAAAGAGCGCTTGGGAAATTTCATACTCACAGGACAGTTTGATGGCACGAGAAACGGAGGAAAGCAATGCATTTCCTATCTGGCAAGCTTGAGTAAATGGATGCCGATATAGAAGAATATATTAAAATTTACCGAGAAAAATGAATTAATGATTTCATTAAACTTCGGAATAGTTTTTTGCGAGCTGGAGATAAATAGCCAAATTATTATCAATTGTTTTTTTTTTTTATTTTGCTTCTTTGAAATTTAGAAATGAAGCCAACAAACACGAGGCAACCTTCACTGTCAGAAGGTCCGATTTGAAACAAATCAACAAATTTCTCCATCAAAAGCAGTGAGTTTTCGCTGTGAACGCCTCACATCGACACAACCCAGTTAAAAACAACAATGTGATCTATTTCCACCAAGCTTAAAGCAAAAACTCTCTCTCTCTCTCGCTATATATATATATATATATATATATATATATATATATATATGTTAAGAAATGTACAAGGTCCGACAATTTATTTATTAAAGACATTTTTATGTTTAACGTTGTTATTTATAGATACAAGTATTTAAGCAAATGCTCTGTTTATGATAAAGAGTATTAAATAACATTTACCGGCCTGAATGTCCGAGAAATTTTCTTAACATATGACGTCATTTGTTTACATTCGATACGCCAGAGCAGTTATGAATGTACGAGATTCATGGAAGATTGAAGTTTATAAACAGTAAATTCGACCTTGTCTACCTTTGTGGCCGAGCGGTCAAGGCACGTCTGCGTATATGACGGTTCCGTATAGGATGCAGTTTCGAATCCTGTCAAAGAACGAATATTTTCTATGAAAATTTCTCGGACATTCAGGCCGGTAAATGTTATTTAATACTGTTTATCATAAACAGAGCATTTGCTTAAATACGTGTATCTATAAATAACAACGTTAAATATAAAATGTTTTAATTATATATATATTTATTAAAGACATTTTTATGTTTAACGTTGTTATATATATATATATATATATATATATATATATATATATATATATATATATATATATATATATATATATAAAATGAAATTCTGTGACTACGATTAATTCATTCGCCAGTCTGTTGCAACCTCTAAAATAGCAATATACCGTGTTTGGAACAAGACGGGTGATATTAATCCCAAGAATAAAGTTTATTCCAAACCATCCAAATATCATTTCGAATGGACAAGAATTCAGTTTCCAGTTCGCCCTTCGTTTGTGAGAATTCTAAACAAATCAGAAGGCCAAACGCTTCAAAAAATTGGAATTTGGATCCAGAAAGAATTATTTACGCATGACCAGTTGTATGTTGCATCCTCAAGTAAGTGTAAGAAATCCTAAGAATTTACTAAAAAGGAAAAAGATAAATTTCCTTAAAAATATTGTTCACCTTGAAGTTCTATAAAATTAAATTAAATTAAAGAAATTATTAAACTACGAAGAAGTGTGTTTGTCAAAGTATTTTTCCAAACAAATCAGTTTATTCAAATTTCATCGATTGGTTTGCGAAATTGAAGGAAACGTAAAATTTGTAAATCTAGACAAAAATGTTAGCGATAACTTCAGCAATATTAAATACATTTGAGGATTTCAGCATTCGTCAGAGTGTTGCAAAAAGATTCTAATTTCTAAAATTTCTATATTTTGATGCTGAGATTGTGTCTTTATTAAAGTAAAAAGCCTGTGCATATTTTTCTAATGAAAATTTCAGGAAAAGTTGATCTAGAAAAGAATGAAAAAATGGCTGAAAAAGAAGATTTACTCGGAGCCGTTCTGAATGCAAGGAATAAATCGATAGAAAATAATTTCATTCGATTTTCTGATGACCTAAAAAGTTTAGCAATCAGTTTAATGGGAAGTACGGAACTGAGTTTCGAAAATTTTGAAATATAATTTCCAATTACTTATTTATTGAGAGTCAGTAGCAGGTGGGATACATTTAAAGAGTTTAAGGTTTTATAGATTTATGGTTCAGGATTATCCTACGGGACAATACTTTTAGCATTACAAGAATCAAATTGGACCCAAAATGGAGAATTACTGCTATGTCTGGACTGGAGTTACTCAAACCTCACTTTCAAGCCTTGGTAGCAGGATCGGTGTGTATTACCCTCGAACCCAACCGGAGGAGATCCTGATTAGGGACCCCGGTCGTGTTTTGTGACATGCGCTATCTTATCAACATTAGTTTTTTTTTCTACCTACATTTATATACGTTAGAAATTAACCTAAACACAAGAATAAACAATTTGCGAGGATTATGACGTCATTCTGGGGTCTTTTTTTATTTCAAATCTGTGAATATATTTTGCTTATACGAAGTCTCGAAAAAAGATAACATTCACTATTTTTTATCCATTATGTTGAATGTGTGAAAATCATTCAACTTTTTAACAAGAAAAATCTTAAGTTGATATTAAAATTCTCACAAAACATTGCTGATTCATTAAAGACTAGCAGTAGAGCCCGGCGTTGCCCGGTGATGTAACAGTAAGAGATAGATTAAGTATCGACCATCATAAATACTGGAAAATAAAATTGATAAAGACTATTGTTTAAGGTTGACGGACACGCATGTATTAATTAGTTTTTTTTTGTTTTTTTTTACGAATTGATCAAACCCAAACTCAAACAAAAACATTGTTTTCAATCG